AAACTACTACAAGACCGTTTCAGGCTGGACATAAGGAAGAATTTCTTTACTGTCCGAGCCCCCAAGGTCTGGAACAGCCTGCCATCGGAGGTGGTTCAAGCGCCTACATTGAACACCTTCAAGAGCAAACTGGATGCTTATCTTGCTGGGATCCTAGGACCCCAGCTGACTTCCTGCCCTTTGGGCAGGGGGCTGGACTCGATGATCTTCCGAGGTCCCTTCCAGCCCTAACGTCTATGAAATCTATGAAACCTGAAGAGGATGAAAGAGGATGGAGCTAGACTGTTCTCAGTGGTGGCAGATAACAGAACAAGGAGCAACGGTCCCACGTTGCACCTGCGGAAGTTAGGTTAGATATTAGAAAGAATTTTCTCGCTAGGAGGGTAGTAAAACACTGGAGCAGGTTACCCACAGAGGTGGTGAAACCTCCATCCTTGGGAGTTTTTAAGACCCGGCTAGACAAAACCCTTGGTTGGATAAGCTAGCTGGGGATGGTCCTGCTTTGTGCAGGGGGATGGACTAGATGACCTCCTGAGGTCCCTTCCAACTCTAACTTTCTATGATAGGCCCGGGAAGGGTACAGGGAAAGTGCTGCTCTGTGTGTATATGGTGCCCCCCAACCATGGCATCCTGGGTGGTCACCCATATCATCTACCCCTAAGGCTGGTTCTTTTCCTGCTGCATGTGAAACCTGTCATGGGCTTCTGGTTACTAGAGCTCAGCTGCCACTGATTTCTCCCTGTTTATTTTTTTCTCAGACCTGAAACAAACATTAGTAAACCAACCAAAGGATTTGCCAAAGATCTGGGCTCTGGCAGGAGCTGAAGGGTCCTGTGTGGGCCTTCCTCCTATTTCAGATGGAATCAGCATGGCAAGGCCAGTGAAGAACAACAGCCTCCCTGTCCAGTTAGTCAGAGCTGATCCTAATCAATCTGGAGCTGGAGGGAGTGGGGCCTGCATAAAGCAAGTGCTTTGTCCCTCAAAAACACCAACGCACTAGTCGTGTCCCCAGATTCACATGACACTTGCTAGGCTGGACTCTGACCTCAGCTGCCTCAGTGTGTATCAGCAGTCCTACTGGGCTTTACACAGCTGAGGAATGTGATCAGGAGCTGGTTCCTTGGGTGGAGTTTCATGTAGCAGTGATGGACACAGCCTCTGCCAACAATTCCAAGCTGAAGCTGGCAAACAGGCCTCAAATACTGGTGAGAACATAAGAGTAAATGCTGTGGGAGAACGGTTGGTCTTGGCAGGTTGCAGGGCCTAGGATTGATGCAAAAAGCAGGTGAGAGCTTAGGGTAGGGGGTGGGGGACTGGGGCCAGAAGGTCCTGGCACACAATTCAGGACTGCCCACCAACACAGTGATGAGACCACTTAAAATATAAGACTGACCATCTGGCCACACTTCTAGGACTGCACTTCTGCCCCAGCTTCTCCTTTCACATTACAGGGTGCTTTGAACTAGAAGTCCCCCCCCTCCCCTCCCCAGCATCCAACCTTTTAGGGAAATGCTGGAAAGCTTAGGGGGACCTGTTAGAACAGGGCGAGCAATTAATGCTTAACGACTTTTGGTGAGCTGCCAAGAGCCACAAGGGGAGCCCCACTCCTTGACAGGTGCCCCAGCCCCTGATCACTATTTGGGACCGGACATCCCATCCCTAAGCCCCCTGATCTTTACCAGCAGAAGCGTCTCCCCTTGCCCCCGGAAGCAGTCCTTCTGGGACTGCCTTTTGGAACCAGAAAGAAAACATATCATATACTAAAATCAAACATGTACTATAACATATTTTATTTAAAAAAATATTTTTGTCCTGATTTGTGTGTTGTGTAGTGTGTATAGAGGTGATTGTATAACAGCTCAAAATACAGTCTTATTTTTGTATATTGTGTGTGGGGGGGTTGTGAAGTTGTGAGGAGGGGTGTCAGTGTGTGTGTATGGGTGGGTGTAGGGGGTTGTGAAGGAGTGTGGGGCTTAAGAGGGGTTTGTGGGTGGGTATAGCTCTACTGCCACATACCCCCCCGCCCCCATTGCCTCTTGGCAGCAGCAGCAAGCCCATGGAGTGCTCATGGCCTGTGGCAGGCAGAACCCCGCAGTGGTGCGTCTCCAGCTGAATCCTGGGAGCTGCACATGGCAGCATGGAGATGGCCTGGCCTTCTGGCATGCACCTCCAGACTGGACCAGGTGGACTCCATGCCTCCACATGGGGCTTCCAGCACTCCAGCGGGGAGCTGCACGTAGAGGCATGGAGCCAGCCCGGTCCGATGGCGCGCTGCTCCCAGCTGCAGTGCTAGGAGCCCCACATGCTGGTACGGAACCAACCTAGCCAGCCCAATGGTGCATGGCTCCTGGCAGAAATGTTGGGAGCTGCACATGACAGCATGGACCCCACCCAGTCCAATGGCTTGCAACTCCCCCCAGCTTCTGGTTTGTGCACCATCAGGCCAGCTGGGCTGTCTTCATGACAGCATGGGGGCCCCCAGACTCTGCAAGCTAGAGTGCTGGGATCCCCATGGAGGTGGAGGCACAGAGCCCACCTGGTCTGATGGTGTGAGACCTGAAAACCCACACCGCCTGCCAGCTTTCAGAAGGGCAACCGTGGGCCAGTAATAACTGTTTTTGGGAGGGGCCCCGCAGGCTGGATAGAATGGCCTGGCAGGCTAGATCTGCCCCAAGGGTTGTATTTTGCCTGCCTGTTAGAATCCAGTCATGCTCTAGGTTGTAAGCAGGTGGTGCCAACCTCCTCATTGCAGTAGCAGTCCTTGCAAGTCTCGGAGTATGAATGCAGTGCTGAGACCCTGATAATTCCAATGGGCCAAGAAGGAAACTTGTCAGCAGATCTGAGATGCCCCAGGCTGCTAGCATTGTAAAGGGCTGTGGTGCAGAGAGGCCACAAAGGGGTCACAAGATGGGAGCTCAGGTCATTGCAAACAAAGTGAAAAACCAATCTTTGTTCTATAAAAGATAGTTTATTTGAAGTTACAGTGTATCTATACACCACTGTCCCCAATGGTTCTGACGGTTTTTAAAAGCCTTTGAACAATTGTCATTAATGCAATATTTATGGTCATGAGGGGAAACCGTGCAAGATGCTAACAATAACAGCTGGGAAGGACCACAGAAGTCAAGCACTTGGGCACTTGCACAGAAACCCACCAGCTTACCAGCTGCACCAGTACTAGCCTCCAACAGGTCTGCAGTCAAAGGTGTGACATGAGCAGAGAAGACCAGCTTTGTACTACCCTGCAAGATGACCAACTGTGCCATGGACCAGGCTAAGGCTGTCTCACTGACTTCCCTTGTACCAGGTTCCAAACGAACACTCTTAAGATGAAAGGCTGCTTCATTAAACCAGTCTTCAATGGCCTGATCCTCTGTCTGAAGAAAAAGAATTCTGTTCAGCTCAGGATATAAGAACACACCTGACTGGAAGCCAGAGTGAGAGAATATTCACTTCCAGTGAGTGGCAATTGCAGGTCTCTGTCAGTGGGTTACTAGATCATGAGAAACATCACTCCTTACTGTAAGCACCACTGTCCATTAGAGGGACTGTCAGCATTACAAACTTTAGAGTGGGCATGTTTTATACCTGGATTGTAACAAAGTCTAGGGCGGTCACTTTAACCCCTTCTTCTGTTTCTTGTCAAGCACCCGGACTATGTAACATTCCTGTTGTTTCTGTATGTTTAAGTCCGACACTTGACTCCTGCAAAAAATATATTTTCATCAGAAAGCAACAATGGCAGGTGGCAAACTGTAAATTATTACAGACTCCATGGGTCTTACTGTCATATTGAAATGGCCACACTAAGCAGGATGCTCTGTTAAACCAGTGCTAACAGCTGCCCTGATGGTGACCCTTGGGATTTCTCTATCAGCTAGAATTGGCACAGATTTGTTGGCACATGGTGGGTTCACAGATTTAGCTTCTTGGTCCTGACTTTATAATAATCCTGCCACAGGCAGTCAGTATCTAGCTGGTAAATCAGACTATAGGCCTGGAAGACACTGGGTGTTAGAATCATCCTGCTCCAAGTGAGGAGGCCTTTCTCACACTCCTGTAGCCTGATGGTCCATCCTGCATGGAGTTTCCTTAGCAGAAAGCCACATACCATTGTGACAGAAGGGAACTTTGTGGCCAGATCCCAAAGCAGCCCACCCACCTGCCTAGGGCAGTCTGCCCTGACTCGCCTGCCATGACTTGATTGTTAACTTGATCTATTAAGTGGGAAGCTGCCCATTTCTTGCCCTGATGCCAGGGGACGCTATCCACGGCTCCAAACCTTCCCAACACCATGGCCAATCTTCACAGATGGCATCCAGATTATGATTACTTCCCCCAGCCTGAGGCCAGGGCAAACTCAGTCCATAATTGGGAACCATTCACTCTCACACTCACCCCGTCCTGCCTCACAGGGGTCTCTTGCATACCGCCCGTCTTGGGCCACACTCCACTGCCCTAGCTCCTCTTGAGCAACCCCTCGTGGGCTTTCGGGTTTAGCTACTCTCTCCCTGGTACCACCACACAGCAACTTCAGTTTCCACATGTTCCCCTACTCTACGTGGCATAGCCTTAGACCAACGCTGGGCTGCATTTGCCCCAAGCTCCTCACCAGGCAACCCTCTATGACGCCTCACCCTGGGGTCTCCTCATCATATTTACAACTAGCTACTCATGTGCTAGCCTTAAGGCTTACTCCCAGTTTGGCCCTACTCAGTGTGCCCCTGGGACTATCCTTCAGGTCTACTCCCAGTTCAGCCCTACTTTGTGTAGGGCTTCACATCATGTTCACCAACTATACCCTCTGGGGTCTCTGGGATCTCACATCCCTGATGGGCTCAGGCACCTACAAATAAGCATACCTGGCCCCACTAGTCCCACAGCTCTCATGATTACCCACACCAGATGGTGGGGGCCAGGGTTAAGGCACCCCTACCCACCTTTCACCAGGGAGGTTAGCAGTTCTGGCACTGTTAAGATTGCCCTGCCACAGGCAGTCCCACCAGGCCTTCCTACCCTGGCAGGGTGCAGTTTTAGGTCATGCCCAGGACCAGGAGCCTCCAAGCCATCCCCCTAGCTCCTGCCCTTACTTCCAGGATGTTCCTGAGCCAAAGCTCTGCCGGCTGACATTTCTTTCATGGCAGCTGGCAGCAAACTGCTGCCTCCCCCTATATATGCTGGGTCCTGAAATGGCCGCCCTAATCAGGCACTTGCCAGCTGCCTGCCTCAGCCCTTAAAGTGGCAAGCACCCAAAGGTGCACTGCCACAACCATTTAATGAGTTTTCAGGGAGCAGAAGCAGTCTGCTCAAAGCTGGTTATTCCTGAAATAGTAGCTCATCTTGTTACTTGCCTAATTACTGACACTTGAACTAGTGACCTAACTCTGGACCCGAGTCTTGCCCAGTACTTGCCCTTGATAACAAGAAAACTCACAGGGAGATCGAGAGGAACTGAGCCTCTGCTTGTAATGTAGCTTTTGTGCAGGTGGAAAAGTGCAAGCCTAGGAGCTCTAGGGGGTGTTTGGTCTTCATTTACCCCCAGATGTAGAGGACAACTGCAGCAATGCAAACTTCCCCTTCCACTGTCCTCTATCACTGTGCTCAGGCTCTAAACTAGATGGGAAGGCTCAATTGAGGACTCAGTCATTGACTGCTTTACTGAGACAGCTAGCATGAGAGCAGCCAGTGGCTTTTCAAGTGGGGCATGCCCATGGATGGCTGTGAGAATCCATCTGTGAGAGAGACATTTCCTTCCTTCCATTGCTGCCACACTTCTCCCCCGGTGCATTTTACAGATTCATTCCACTTGGATCAGTCTCAATATATAACGGAGGGGGCAACAAGATGTTTTCTGCAAGGGGCTCTCCACTTTGGAAACTATGCACCTCACCTCTTGCTCTAAAACAGTCATGGTCAGCTGAGTTTGAGGGCCTGCTGCAAGACATGCCTATTTTACTGGGTTTCTTGGGAAGCTGGAAGGGTACAAATCTGGGGCGGGGACAGGAAGCTTTGTCCACAGTGCTGTGGTGTTGTTAGGGACCGCTGGCTGGGTTCACTTCTGAACTCAACAAGATCACTTGGTTTTTTAACTCGTGTTAAAGTATGTTAAAATCTCCTATGAAGTCTAACAAGCCCTTTATAATGTATATGGTTAAAACACCAAAATAATAATAATAAAAGCCTGATGATGTCAGGATCAAATGCCCATCGATTGCAATGTGAAGTCAATGCCCTAAAGGGCCCTTACATACTTGAGCACCTGCTTTTGCCTGGTGATGAAGTGCTGCAGTGCCTTGATCTCATTCTCTTTGCCATTCAGGATATCCTCCTGCTTCAGGATGTGGCTCTCAATTTCTATTGAAGAAGAATTGGGAGAGTAAGTGGAACTTATTTTAGATCCAGCTGACCTTGGCCACATTTTTCTGTGGCACAGACTGAAGGCGGATGCATTTAGTAGTAATTCTTGTCTTATCAGCTTATAAAATTGGTACTGAAAACTGGGCGAGAATATTTTGATGCACCTTAAAATGGAGATTAATTCTGCCACAAGCATCGCGTAAACACTGATGCTTCTTTCACAGGCACTGATGAAACACTGATATTTACTACAGTACCAAAATCTGGGTAAATGCAAATCTGAGGATTTGCATTCAGCACTGGTTTTCATATTACTGTACATCTGCTTTTTAAAACATAGTTGTTTGCATTACTAGCAAAGAACCTAAAACAAGGGGACAGTAATAACTAGTTTCTATTTCACAAGCCAGTGGCTTCTTAAATAGAAACAGATAATGACAATTAGCAAACCCTTGTCCAACACCTTCCACCCAGAGATCACCAAGACCACAAGGTAAGCAAATATTACTAGCTCTGCATCACAGACAGATGCTAGAGCACAGGGCGATACCCCCTGAATGATCCCAAATCCCAGTAGATGCCCAGCCCCTTCTCCCCCAGTGGTATATCTAGAAACACATCTGAAACATAGGTCTGATCCTCTGACACCCAGTGCTGATATCTTACCCTCTAGATGCCCTTTCCCAACATTAAAACGTTAATTGCAACATGGAACAAAGCTTTGTCCTATCTGACGTTTTGCTGTGCCAGTCCCAAAGCTGGCTACGCTTGGTTCTGTCTGGCCAAGACCTTTAAGCTGTCCAAGCACCTTAACCTGATTTGGAAAGTATAACTGCCACAGAGCAGGTATTTCAAATGTGCTGCCTTCTTAGCAGAGGAAGCTGTTCTCTGCAGCTGTCACATAGAGCCAGTTGGAACCTTTTCTCAGTGGCTCGGAGAAGCAAAATGTCCCTCCTACTCCCCCTTCTCTGTCTGCAGGAGGGGAAAGAGCATCTACTTTTTTGAATTGCTCCTTACATCCCCTCTACACTGCCTCAGCTCCACTATCCAATGAACTGTTGGGAGAGGACCCAAGGCTGAAAAGACTCCCTGCCCTGGACCAGTAGGTTAGTGAAGACTGTGGCTGTATGGGGCATTCTTTGCCGAGGCCTGCCCCTGGAAGACCATAGGGGAGGTGTGTGTGTGTACTCCCTTTCACACACCAATGCAGGGCAGGAGTGCAATATTCTATCAAAAGTCAGACTTGCTAATTACTGTAAATACCAATGACTGTCTCTTATCTGTTAAAGCCAGTACAACAGTGCAGAGCAGCCTTCAGCTTCCGGCACACTCACCATTGCATTTGCTTATTAGCTTGTCTTTTTTAGTCGATTCCTTTAGTGCTTTACTCTTAACACTGGCGAGTCTACAACAGAAGCAACCAAAACAAAAGCAGGCAAGGTTAGTGACAGTGTCATGCTAACTGCTGAAAAGCAAACCTGCCCCATTTCCAAAGGTTAATCTTCCTTTTGTATCCAAAATACGGTACCAGGAAGTACAATTATGGCTTAGCTGAGGCTTTCAAAGCTGCCTGTGGGGCTCAGCTGGGAACTGAGCATCTGAAACCTTGAAGCAGCTTTGAAAGACTCAGCTTTTGTGGTGCCTGGATACCTGATTAACCAATGTGCACTCGCATGGCAGGTGCTCACGCATCCAAATTCTAGCCACTGGGCTGCCAAAAACGTTGATCCTAATTCTCTTGGGTCAGGCCTTTAAACCCCTGTCAATGCCCAATTACTTCATCCTGCACCTGCCCCTTAGCAGTGTGCAGACAGAACAAAGAAACATTTAAAAACAGTCTAAAATATTTATCTTCCAAGACTCACTTCTAGGCCCCTCGTTCAGACACTTGAGGGCTGGAGTTGTCAAAATGCTTAAACCCCACTGAAGTCAATAGAACTTAAGTGAATGGTTAAATACAGTCAAAGGTGTCTGCTGTGGTGCTGACTCCTATAACTTTATTGCAGTAGTAGCAGAACCCTACTCTGTTGGGCACTGTGACCATGGCACAAAGTCAGAACATTTGACTCTGTTTCAACAGAAGATTTAAATATGTCCTCAACCTCAAGCACTCTTTCTGCTTTCTCATTGTATCAGACCCAGGTGAACACAATTTGCTCCTACGACAAATCTGCATCCCTAATTCAGTAAAACAGGACCATGTCCAGCATGGTTACTATAGAGATGAAGTCTAAGCTGCCTATTCCAAATCCATAGCCACCAAAGCTTACGTTTTTTCAAAGACTCGCCGTTCTCTCTCGAGCTGCTTGGACAGAACCTCAATCTCCCCCAGTGCAAACTGCAGCTTCTCAGATTCCTTGATGAGCAGGATTTTGGTTTTTCCATGCTCCTCCTCTTCTTTCTGTAACATACACAGCTCCTTCAAGTTCCGGGTCAGTCCCATCCCTAATCAGCACCAAATTAAATTAAACAGATTCAGTTTATCTTACAAGATCCCAAAACATCTCACAAGCATTCTTATTATTTTGCCAACCACTGAAATGCAGCTGCACCCACTAGTGTGAAAGGTGGTAATTGATTAACTGTGAACAGCAAATATTACATAACAGTTTAAGCCAGGAAGTGTACAAAGTTAGTCAGTTGAGCTGCTAGAAAACTGAAAGAGGCAGACTGTATTTCTTGTAGAGGGTGGGATGCTTATAGCTGAAATCAACACACTTCAGAGATGTATCTTTGGATCTTTAATGATCACAAGCAGACAAGGCCTCAGTTTTGAAGCAGTTTTCTAAAAGTCAGTACCTCCTGCCAAACTGCATCATCCAGTCCCAGAAATGCCTGCTCAGAGATCAACCTGGTGCACAATTCTTTGTGTCAATAATAAACTTAATGGTAAGTAAAGATCAAGTCCAACAGCTTTCACCTTCAGGCTCACAAGCTTTTGAGTCACTGGACATTTATTAATTGAAGGGCAGAGGATAAAAAAAATCATTTTTAGAACATTATGTGTAGGCTTCCTAACCAGCTAAGCACCCGTTTTCCCCTTCCACCATTTGCCAGACTCAGAGGCCTGTTGCTCACTTCTAACCCATGACACTTGCCAAACAGCAATTTTAAAACCCATCTAACACTGAGCTAACTGGCTCCTATACATTCATGCTGACCCAGCCAGCAGTGAATTCACTGAAGAGGCACAAGTGATGGCAGATTTCTTGATACATTTCATATTTTCAAAAAATGTTTTTAACAAATAGAATTTAAATTATTTTTACAAAGGAGCTTAACAGGTTTTTTCTAGGAATCACAATTCACCTGCAAGTAAGGTACTGAGCTTCATCTTCTACCTGGCAATGCAGAAAACAGCAACCATTCACAGCCCCAACATAGTGGGTTATTTGCTATTTTATTCTATTCTGTTCTATAAAGGGTCCTAATACTGCACTTCATTACTTCAGCACCCAAGAGCCTTTGAGACCTGCATTAAGTAAAGTCACAAACAGCTGCTGCCTGTTTTGATCCTTCATCCTCTCATCCATGGGAAAACAAGGGCTGTATAAGAACTTACTCTGGTAGGATTTTATGGTCACTGAATTTTTAACTATCAGTGTTTCTTTGTACCAGTTTGATCAAAGAAATGCACTGTGCACTTGATTTGGAAGATTGGGAGGTTTGCAACTAATCCTTTCTTCCTGGGGGAGTCCTTTTCACAATGCTGACTAGACCATGAACTTTTATTTTTCCTAATGGGTGTCCGTCCCTCCCCCCTACTTTTTGGGCCTTGCTTTATACCTTCAGCTGCACCCAGTCAACTAAGCTCAATGGGAATGAGCTGGTTCTCTTGACACCTCACTGTATCAGGTATTCACCTCTGGTCCAGCATCACTGAAGGCAAGACAGCTGGACACAGATTCAGAAAGGTGGTAAGGCAGAGGAAGGGTATAACTTGCAGATAGAAATCCTCTAGCTCTAGCTGGTGGTATTAGTAGAGTTGTCTTAGTTTATGGTGGTACCACAGCTGCCACAATGGAGTCCTGGCCCACACGGCTAAGTCATTCTTTGCCTTTAGTTTGTCATTTCTCCCTTGATGTCCAGGTGCAGCAGCAGCTGAAGCAAGTTTCTGGGGCTGCTACCTTGAAGCAAGACTGCCCTGGGATTCAAGTGCAGGTTTCTTGCCTTTGTGGACACAGCTGGGCTCACTTTAGCCTTGTGGCTCAAGCAGCGAGGTAACTGACGGGGTGCCTGGCTCTGTGGATCTGATGTATCTTGATTTTAGCAATGCATTTGATAGTCTCTCACAATATTCAGTTAGGAAGTAATAAGCAAGTTAGGAAGTACGGGCTGGATGAATGGACTGTAAGGTGCATAGAAAACTGGCTGGAACATTGGGATCAGAGAGTAGTAATCAATGGCTCGATGTCTAGTTGGCTGCTGGTATCAAGCAGAGTGCCCCAGGGGCTGGTTCTAAGGCCAGTTTTGTTCAATGTCTTCATTAATGACCTGAGTGCACCCTCAGCAAGTTTGCAGATGACACCAAGCTGGGGAACAGTAGATAAGCTGGACGGTTGGCCTAAGATTCAGTGACCTAGACACATTGGAGGGTTGGGCCAAAAGAAATCTCATGAGATTCAACAAGGACAAGTACAAAGTCCTGCACTTAGGATGGAACAACCCCATGCACCCCTACAGGCTGGGGGCTGGGCAGCAGCTCTGCAGAAAAGGACCTGGGGGTAACAGTGGACAGCGAGCTGAAGATGAGCCAGCAGTGCGCCCTTGGTGCCAAGAAGGCTAACAGCATACTAGGATGTATTGGTAGGTGTGTTGCCAGTAGGTTGAGGGAAGTAATTATTCCCATCTATTCAGCACTGGTGAGGCCACATCTGGAGTCCTGTGTCCATTGTTGAGCCCCCCACTACAGAAAGGATGTGGACAAGTTGGGGAGAGTCCAGCAAAGGACAACAAAAATGGCGAGGGGCACAAATATCATGGGACACAAAACGTATGAAGAAATACTGTGGGAACTGGGCTTATTTAGTTTAGAGAAGACGAGACTGAGAGGGGATTTAATAGTTGAAGGGGGCCCTGAAAGAGGATGGAGCTGGACTGTTCTCAGTGGTGGCAGATGACAGAACAAGGAGCAATGGTCTCCAGCTGCAGCAAAGGAGGTGTAGGTTAGATACAGGAATAATGCTCTCGCTGGAAGGGCAGTGAAGCGCTGGAGCAGGTCACCCAGGGGTGGTGGCAGCTCCGCCCTTGGAGGTTTTCAAAACCCTGCCCAACAAAGCCTTGGTCAGGATGGTCTAGGCGGGGCTGGTGCTGCTCTGGGCAGGGTTGGACTAGAGGAGACCTTCCGAGGTCCCTTCCAGCCCGAGCTTCCCATGGCTGTTAGGTGACACCTCGCACTGGAGCAGCCGCCCGGTGGGACACACACAGACCGGGCCCGAGGCAGGCGCTGCTCCGCCGGCCCCTCCCAGTCCCTGCT